GCAACTTTCAAATTACTGAACCGCAAACGATTCAAAACATGGCTAATTTAAAATAGCTTTTTTTAGGCAAACTCAAGGACTTCAAAGTAACCGAGGAAATAAAAACCGCATAGCGACTGCCAGGGCTGCCACCACAAACACACAGGCGGCAACTCTACTGTGGCTGTTGCATTTCGCGTTTCGCCAAACGGCAATTGAAAATATTAACATTCATAGATGAATGACAGACATCGACGCTGCGGTTCAAGCTTCGCTGGGTTCCTGGGGGTCATAATAAATTAGGTTGATTGCTGTGGGGATTCGCACATATATGTGCAGTGGTTGAATCCTGACTGGTTATTTTCCATTTTCCATTTTCTCTTTTTTTTTGTTTTTTGCCTGAGGAAATTGTTTGTTTTGCGGCCACTCGAATTTCTCAAAAAGCGAATCAACTCTTTGGGTATTTGATTACCAGTCTGAGCCGCCTGCCCATCATCAATTATTCGGTTGGAGGGCAAGTGAGAACGTCATCAACGGTGTCGAGCCTTGAGGAAATATACAGAAGGAGCAGGACAGCGAAGGAGAGCAACAATTGCAATAATTAGCGAATGATTTAAAACCGTCAGTAATCATCATTACCATTGTCGTCGTCGTTGTCGCCTCCTCATCCTGTTCTCTACACTGGGAAATAACAAAGTAATCAATTGAGAAAATAATACGAATTTCTGAGATAATTAGAGACCTTTGTTCTTAAAAATGTGAATAAAATAATATTAAACTAGATTTATAAAATGACTAAAGTTTTTACTGTGTTAGGTTGATGTTCTGATTTTTTCAAAGCTTTTCTATGACCAGTTCTGAAGTGTTCAAATACATTTTTTTATAGTGTACCTTCATTAACAAAGGCAGAGGACCAGTACTGAACCAACCCGAATGAACCGCTGACGACCGCAGGCATTTCATTTAAGCTCGTGAAATTTTCAAGTGAAAATTTCGTTTGGGGCTCGCGCTAATGACGATAAATTGCGTCGCCATCGCACGGTCCACTATAAATAAGTTTCGCTCGGCTTGGTCCGACTTTTGACCCCGATTTAGGCCAGGAAAGGGATAGGTGCACCCCATCAACGAGCGGCTTAAAAATGCTGCGCAATGCGTTCATGTTCCGCAACTGAATGTAATCTCGATTTATCAAATTTCAGCCGGAAAGGGTTTAACTTGCCTACGAAGAAGCCGGAGGAATGTATGCAGGTAGATTAGGATTCAATTTGATCTATGTGGCATAGGAACTGTATTTTATTCAAAGTATTTAAATGCTATTCAAAAAAATAATGTCTAAGAAATAAAATACATTAAAAGATGAAAAAATATACATTCAATATGTCTTTAAATTAATGTATGCTTAAATACCAGTTTTAAGCCTACTTATATTATTATTTCCAAAAATATTCGTAAGTCCTTGTTTGTGTGTTCTTAAGTTCATTTGTGATCCTCATCTGTCAATCTTTTGTTGTTGCTTGTATCATTAGAATCTATCATATATCCTAAGGGTTTCTCTTTTTTCCACTTATAAGGTATTTTTGTTTGTCAACTTGTTGCAAAATTTTATTGATGTCAGCATATCTTTCTTACAAAAGATTTGTATGCGTATGTGTGCAAAGTGAAAAGTAGAAAAGTGCGAATAGTTGAGTGAAAATTGCGCAGTTGAGAAAAGTTGAGAACATCGATAATATATTTCATATTGGAAAGCCAAAAGCAACGCACCCGATAGGAAAACTTGGTAAATACTAAAAACCCAATGCCTGGAACCCTTACACATATTCACAGCTACTCGACCACGAGCATATACAGCTGCGGTTAAAAAAATAGTAATCATTTCCCATATGACTACATAGTTTTAATCCAAAGAGAAACTTTGTTAACTCTATAGAAAGCGCCATAACAAAAGTTCCATAATATTTTTAATTATTACCTCTAAATTGAAGAATTCAAATATTGTTATTTCTATGGCTACAGCCCCAGCTGTTCGTACGTGTATCCATGAAATTCAAACAAATGGCAAAGTTAAATTTGAAAATAATAGAAAAACTTTCCGCAGTCACTCTGGCAAACGGCAACAACAATAGCAATAACAGCACTAAAAGCAACAACGAACAAACAATAACAATAATGCAACTAAAATGAAACTATTTCGAGTGAAATAAATCTGTTAGAATGTGGAAAACTCCACTGCCAGCGCATTGCGGCTTGCATTTTTCGAAACCGACTCCATCCTGGAGATGTCTAAAGGGGCGGTGGTGAGTGGGCTGTGCCCTTGTGGGTGGGATAGGGGGCGTGGCAGCAGCAACTGGAAGTGGAATCATTTTTATTGCCAAACGTGTTTGTTGCTCAATTTAACTAAAAGTGCTGCCAACTAAAAGGGAGAAGTGGATAAAGAAGTGGAGGCAACAAAGGAAAAGGACCATGGAAAAACTCCTAAAAAGACCGCAGCAAATGTATACCCTAATATTATTTTTCCCTCATAATTTATCAATTAGGCTTAAAACTTGTAGAACCAGTAAATATATATTTTACCATAGCAGACACATTTTTATACAAATTAATCAACTTTGATTTCCAAAAAAAAACTGAGTTAATAATGACTCTATAAATGTTTAGTAATTTGTAAAAGCAAGCATTAAATAAAAAAAATCATTTCCCCTAAAAGACTTTGAAAACCACATTGCCTAAAATACCCTGGTGAGGGAACAATTTACAGGATATTCTGCTAATACTAAAAACTGAAAGACAAGACAAACTTTTGTTGGTCATTGAACTGATTGCCATTTTAGTCGTTGCCATATCGTGGCATAAATATCACAAAATGAATTTATTTATAGGTGCATAAAGACAACCCGACTGTGTGGAGTGCACACATGTGTGGATATTTATTGCAGGCATTGTTTGCCCATATTCCTGTATTGTCTATTTATTTGCCGCCTTCCGTTTTGCCATTGTGTTTATTTGCGACTTTCTTTTTCTGGTCCGTTCTGTTTTATTTTGGTGATTTGAAATCGATGCATAAATAATGGTTTATGCCAGCGGCTTTGGTTTCCCCTTATTTCCACATTTTAGTAGAGGCCTGTACAGTGCGTTTCGTAAGCTTAAATAAGAAAGAAGTTATTACCATGATTATGTTGTGCCCTAATAATTATTATACAACATTTATAATTACAACTTATATGACGAAATGACAAAAAACCTTCATTAACTCCAAATATTCGGAATGTCAAAATTAAATAAATTTGTATAACCACAATTTTAGATAGCTTAAATTTTTACACATTCGCCACGTGCTGTTCTGCTGACGGTGACGCCGGAAAATAACAGAAATGTGACAAACTTTTTCAATTGCACAATATACGGGCATAAATTTTATGCAATAAACAGCAACCCAGAAAAAGCCACCAAAAATCATGGTAAAAATGAAAAAGTTACAGGGCAAAAAGGGCTAAAACAAAAGATTGCCAAATCAACAATCAGGCGAAAAGGGCGCGAAAGATCGTGAAAAGTTTTAGCCGCCTTCGTGACGTTTGCCAATTGCTGGATTCTCGATTCCAATGACAATCGCCCCAGGACGAAACAACAACAAGGAGAGTAATATCGGCAAAAACAAGGTGATGGCACGCCCACTTAGCCAGCTGGCGGTTCAACGCCCCTCAAAAAGGGCAAAGGAGCGAACGGGTTTCGTCGCTTACGTGACTTGTTTCATAAACAAACAGAAGGCGCAGAGAATTGGCACAAAATTGCCAGCGAATCCTTGCCAAAGGACCGAAAATTTGGGGGGACCAGGTGTATGGCCCGGCACCTCCTTCTGCTCACATGTCCCGCTGACATTGAGCAGCGTGAAAGTTTCACCCGCTTCTCCATTGGCAATTTGGCACTTTTGCATACGAGTTGGTAATTGTTTCCGCCGAGAATTTGTGCAACTGCAGATGGGGACTGCACTGCGTGTCCTCTTTTGCCACTTTAATCATTCAAAAGTAGTGGGCAGCTGCGTTATCCTTGGCTCAGGACATCAGACGTCAAAACCCGGACAGCCCTAAATGAGACATCGCACGGAGACGAAAGTTTTCTCATTACAGGACACACATACTCACAGCCAACCCCTTATGAGTTTTGCTTTCTTATCCAAAAAATGTCTGAAACTAAAATAATCAAGGAGCGAAAAAATGGAAAGTTGTCGCCACTTTGCTTAACAGACAATGGCAAGTGTGCAGTCAAAAAAAATTACTAAATAAATTTACATAAAGATTTAGTACATTTTTGTGAATGAAAATTTAACATTTTTTTACAGAAATAAAATGCAGAATTAAACATATAAATAAACTAAAATCTGAAGCTTAGAAATTGAATCCAATTCTGTACTAAAATATTATATTTAATAGGAAAGAAGTTTTAAGACTGTGTGCTAAGATTATAAGATGCATAAATTTGAAAACTGGTTCTATTTTAAATGATATCATGTGAATAATATATATATTCATATATTATTTATTAATTAATTTCAGTGTTTAAAGGTGAAGGCTGTCCTGCAGCCATTCAACTCATAGACAGGTGAATCAAGTTTTCTGCAGCCATCCGGGGAGGGAAATTCTGCGTGCAGCAAAACTTTTCATGCATATTCAACATCATTAGAAAGTCAGGACAAAGTAGCTGAAGGCAGCAAGGCAGCAGCCTTCATGGAAAGTAAAACAAACCCGTTTAGGGCGCTAAAATGTAGGCTATAAATTATGTCATAGGTATAGTCGACCTTTCTCCAAGGAGCTTCCTTTCTCTTTTTGTCTGCCGTAAGTGGGCTTGAAAGGAGTGCATTTAGAAAGTTCTGAAAAGCGTCTTAATTGCAATGATGTTAAAAGATTCCTGGCGAATTTAATTTATCGCGCAAAGTTAGAGTTTTAAATGCTGAATGTAAAATAAATTTAAATTTATAAAATAAACTGTTTCCCTACTACTAATTAATATTTCCAGGAAATCCCAATTTCTTTAGAGAGTAATATAACGTTTTAATAAGTATGCATTCAGGTGTAAATGTAAATAGAATACGTGTAGAATTCGCCAGTCCTTGGGGCCTACATGAGCAGACAGCATCCTCTGGTGGATCTGGAGGAGAGGCGGTTCTGAAAGCCACTGCACTTTCCCTCATCCAGGGATTCCTCCAGTTGCGGAGGAACTGCATCCCCGACAATTTTGGGAACTTCCATTGCCTGGCTGATTGTTGTGCTGCCTGCGATGGGATCATAGGACTCGGCTCCGATATTCATGGCCTGATGTTGGTCGAACTCCAGTTCTCCTACCTCATCCTCGCCGGGATCCAGGCTGTAATCGAAGCGAGGATTGGGCAGACGCTGGTGCAGCTTCTGGAGACTGACCTCACGCCAAATGGACTCGTAACGAGGTCCGAAGGAGATGTCCTCCGACGAGGCCGTGCTCCAGCGAGTGTAGGGCGACACTGAAAATTAAGTTTTGGTTAAAAGATGAAACATTGACACATAATATATAAAAAATCTTAATGGAAAATTTATTCGTACATGTTCTTAAATTTATTTTAGTGATTAATGCATTCATTTATAAGTCTTTTTTTAACTAATAGATAAAAATTAAATATTTTATGCACAAATTAACGAACTTCGATAAAAAATTTTGGTTAAATTACACCCTAATATTGACTTTTTTTTAAATTGCTCAATAAAAATTAGTCAATTTTTCGTAGTGTATTTGGAAATGTACTTACACTCATCGAATAGATTTTTGGCCACCTGGCTTGCCTTGAAATCGGGCACAAAAACAGGAGCGTTGGGATTTAAGCGGCGGTCCAAAGTGCGGCTGCCGACGGTCATTTCCGGCAGCGGGCGAGGGGGCGTGGCGGGAGTGGGCGGTGGGGCGCCTGGTGTCGAATGCGCACCACCCACCTCCCGTGCGAATCCGCTGGTCGATGCGGTAATGATGTCCTTGGACATGGTCTACAGAGCGCGTAATGCTTGAATAGTCTCTCGACTTTACATTTGACTTCCGACCGGACGATTTTTCGGGCAGCTTTTCCCAGACTGTTTGATTTTCGATCTGACAATTAACGCAGTGCACTACTCAAATTGCTCAGTGCGGGTAGTTAGCTTTAGGGTTCTCAGTGGGTTTCAAAGTAGTTTACCTAACGCCGTTCGCTTCGGCTATATTTATTTACACAATTTTGGTTAAGCCCGATTACGGCTCTGTTCGTGTCTACCTCTCTAAGTGTCCGTTTATCAACTGATTAACAATTGTGTTTCATCATTCCCGTGTGTAATATTTTGAATATACGAATTTTATAAATAAAATTTGATACGCTACGGAAAGGCAACTGAGGTGAAAACCAATTAAATGGGGTAGGGGTTTTCTTATTTTCCCTTTACTAGCAATTTGTCTGCCTTTTAATACGGTTTTATATATATTATTTTGATTTTATTTTTGATAACAAAACTCAATTTTTATTTAACCGATTTATAATCCTTTGAAGTGTAATCAACCATTTACACCAAAGGAACGCTCTATTTTCATTTTAAATCGTCTTAATAAAAGAACACAATCCAAATCCATTTTAGGTAAACTAAGGCTATTAACCCACTTTGATTCAAATACAATTTCTCTTAAACTCCTTGGCAGCTCAAATGTGATTAGTAAGTAATCTATTTATTCTTCTTAATAGAACCTAGCCTGTTAAATGCTCAACTTGTTATTCAGGCATTTAATTGATTTCGTAAATTTTGTTCAACTTTCAACTTGCATTTCATTGCATTGACCGAGAAACAAATCAAATTTGACAAAATTTTAATTAAATAATGAAACTTACAAAAATTTTAATAAGCCATATAAATAAATTAGAATAAATTTCAAACAAAGTGAGGTAAAATTCCCTAAACTCATCCGGATATTTCTCCTTGTCACTGTGTGTGTGCCAAATTTAATTTTGTGAAAACCGCAAATTGACAAATATTTTCGTTTGCATAACAAGAAGATGGCAAAACATCCAGCACTCCCATTCAATCTGGCTGGTGAATTTTAATTGATTTGCGCTAAAATTTATTGATTTCATTTTGTCAACAGTTGCTGCCAGATGAACCGCAAAGAACCCCTTAAAACCTCAGACCTATTCACACATCTGCCCAACTTGAGCTCATTATGGCGACCCCCTTGGAACCCAATATTTGCATTTATTTTGTGCGTGTGCTAATTTGCATGTGCGAGTGTGTTAAAACATAAATTAGTTGACTCTGCCGACACACCCACGCAATCAAATAAAATAAAGGGTGAGGGGTTATAGAAAGGTTTTCCCCCAACTAGTTGGCAATGGAGAATTTATGGCCAATTCATTGCATTCGCGCTGCTGCATCGACCGATTTTCGCTAACCGAACTAATAGCGGTTTCAACTGTTTATAGTTAATTGCGCAAATTACTTGCGCTAATTTATTGGCCAGCTTTCAATGGCCATTTTGTGGATTTGAGCTTTCCAGAAGAAGTTTATTTTTATGAGAATTTTTTTTCAGGCTAGAATAATTGAATTTGAATATATATTCTGTGCTATCTGAATCGTTTTTAATTAAATTCTTACATTTGTTTTAAATTTACAAAAACGTATAAGTTAAAACCCGACTTTATTTAATTATAAGATATTTCGGTAAAAGTTGTTGTTTGGATTGACAGAAAATTTATTGATACAATTAAAGCGGCATCAATGTGACAATCCCTTGAATTCATAAATCGTAAAGCTGGGAAAAAGGGGATGAGAACCAAGTTTATTTAGTTACTCAATCAGGGACACAAACAGCACTCGAGTTGTTGGCCAGTTTCAGTTCCAGTTGGAAGGCGGCTGGCGAATGGCAAAATAAATAAATGAAACGAAGTCCTCGCACTTTTGTTAGGTCGCTCCTCCTCAGTGTTGGCGGTTTTCTTGCGAATGAATAATAGCTCATGACTGGTTGGAAAGAGTTTATTTGAGTTAAAATTAAGTAAATTCATGGCGGGAATGAGCGTTTTACTTTTACAGGTAAGATGGGGTTATACTTTTACAATCGTAAAAAAGGTGATAAGGTTATTGAGCCTAGGGCTCTATTTTCCATAATTTTCACACAAATGATTTAATTTTACCAGCAACATTATTACAGATATTTTTTAAAAATATTTTGTAACTGGTGTACCAATTAATATGTCATAATTTAAGATAACAGAAATACAAAAATATGGAATGGATTTCGGAAGATAACACAGTTTGCTTTGATATTATTTTAATGATTATACATTTTATTTTTAGTTTTGATTATTTTTTTAAATAATAAAATGTGGTTGAAAAAACTAAATTTTTCATTCAGCTTAAGCTTAAAAATCAGCATAGTAATAAAACAGTCAATTAAAAAAACACCAATTTTCTTTTTTGGAAAAGTCAAAACTGAAATAGAAAATATCCAAGCTGACAGATCCAGTCCACCTCCAGTCAGTCAGTCAGTCACCCACTTGGTCAGTCACTTGGGCTGCACATTCAAGTGTCACTGATTTGAGGATAAGCACTTCACAGGCAACTTGATAGCCCCCGCATTCCTTTCCATTCCATTCCTGGTCCGTTCTGGTGCGGACTGGTCCCTGCTATATGGAGTAGGATTGGTAGTAGATTGGTAGTGCCGTGTGCCGACGGGTTGGCTGCTTGGTTGCCTGGCCAGTCAGCCGTGGTTGGGAAATATCACAGCAGTACGCTCTCTCATTCGAGGGCCACTCGTGCAAAGCGAACTAATTTGAATATATAAAATCAGCAGCACTGCGGGGAAGCCCCACAGAGACGGATACACACATACATATATACGTATATAAAGACTGAAGATAGTCGGAGGGCAGAGGGCAGAGGCCAAAGGGCACTTCCCAACTGAATGACTGAATGGACGAATGACTGGCCAGGGAAAATTGATGAAAACAAAGGCCATCATTACGCTCGGCATCTTTTGTACCGCTTTAATTGATATGCCTTAAATCGTTGACAAACTCGATTTAATCCGGCTAAAAGGGTTTTTATTCGTTAGTTAACATAAATTCAATTCATTTGTGAATAAATCTCTCGATTATGGACGAGGATTGACAACGGGTCGCGGCTGCTCTTTTAAATAATTTAAATATTTATTGACATTGGACAATAATAGTTATTTTACAAACAAAAAAGGCACTGTAGTAAAGTTATTCGCTTTTCACTGGAATATTCTTTACAGAATTCTTTACTAATTAAAGATTTTATTATTAATACGTTTTTTTCATATTTTTTAAGATTTTGACATGTACTCTATCCAGGGTCTCAAATCATTTATTTTCCCTATTCTACCTCTGTCTTTTCCCGCTTGTTCATTTAGCCCTCTTTTTCCGCTCCTTTCCCCCGCCTTTCTGCACCCGCCCTTCTCCACCCACCTTTCTCCACCCAACTTTCTCTCGCCGCCTAAACAAACACACATAGACAAGGTGTCCAAATTACTGCCGGTTGTTGGTGTAGTTCTTGCCACATGTTGTTGCTGTTGCAGCAGGGTTGTTGGTGTCGTTGCTTGGTGTCAGTGTTGCCACCTTGTTGGGCAAAGCAACTGCAGAAGTAAAGAAAAAAAAAACAACTGGTAAAAACAGTGTACGAATTTTGAAAACCGAATTCTGGACTACTTTTTCAGAAAAATAATTCTTATGGAAAAAATAGTAATCTTGAAAAAGCTGTACAGATGTTACATTTATCCCCAACAATACAAAGATTTCTTTTGTTTATTGAATAAAATCTTTTGATGAAAATATTCACGTCATATCATATCTAATATATAATTTATATTATATTATTTTATATTATATTTATATTAATATATAATGTATATTAGATATGAAATGACATGAATAGGGGTAGCATCATCAAGTGGGTCTCTTGTTTTGCACCTCCCGATGTGAAATACCCTTTGTTAGGGTATAGAGAGAGAAAACAGCGGCTCAAACAGTTGCAAATGTTGCATTTGCATGCATGGCCAGTCGGCAGCAAATTTCACCTGTCCCGCATCAGCCCCCCATCCCCTGGCCCCATCCATCGTTTGGCCAGTTCGGGTGAACGTTGTCGCTGCTATTTAGACAAGTGACATATGCGCCAGGCACAGGTGAAAGGGGCCGGAGAAAGGGGGAAAGCGAACGGGAGAGACAGCTCATGCAACATGCAAAATGGGGTGTCAGAAAGAAAAGCCGACTCGGTTTCTGTTAACCCCCGAGCACCCCACACTTCCATCTCACCTAGCCACCCCCTCACGCCCACCCAGATCTCGATCTCCTGCATCTGCTAGATAGGAAAAGGATGTCGCCGTCTCCATATAAGGACAGTGCTTGGAATCCTGGACTAGACCGTGATCGTAAGTGAGGTGAATTTCATATGGTTCAGCATGTGTTTGTATTAGAATGTATTTCTCAAAACACTCTGCCAAAAAAAAATTTATAAAAATTGTCTTTAACCCTTCCAAATTTACCAAGCTTAATTTTAAATTAACCAAACTTTTACGAATTCATTTAATAAACATTTTTAAAAGATTATATTCAATTTAATGTTATGTAAAGTATTTCTCTTACAAGTACCCTTCTGTAAAATTCAAACAAATATAGTAAATAAGTTAAAGCCCACATATTTGATTTAAATTTCTAAGAAAGGTCTAAATTTTGTTATCTTTATAAAATAAAGAATCCCTAAAACTAATTTTTAAGCAAATTTATAAACTGTTTTTCGAGAGAAAAATATTTTTTTAGCTAAATATTTAGATAAGTACGAAGTTTAATGCCTTCATAAATGATTTTTACATTTTTTGGTCCTCCAATGTTTTAGATTTTCAAAAATGCAAAGTAAATCTGAGGGAGAAAGATTTTTAAAGGGAGTATTCGTCACCTGTGTTGCCGCCGCATAAAGAGGAAGCTCTGGCAGTGCGCAAATTGCAGGAAGCAACGGGCAGTGAACAAACAGGGCGACAAACAAACAAACAACCAGAACTAAACAACAAACTCGTGTGTGAATCTTTAGTTTCGCTTCGTTTCTGTGTTTTTTTTTCGCAGCTGTTGGCTCTTGTTTTTGACACAGTTCAGAGGAGCAGTCAGCGCTATATTCGTGTTTTCCTTTTTACCATTTTGCACTCTGCTCTGCTGTTGGCTTCCGCTTTTAGTTGCAATTAAACAAGCCAGTGCACCGCACAGACAGAAAAAGAAAGGCAGGAATGCAGAAAGTCCAACGCCAGCAAAGGACATCGCTCATCAGTGCAATGTCCAATTTGCATGCATCGCTCCCTGGTT